TTTTTTTTTTGAAATGAAACGGACTGTTGAGAATGTGTGGTGAGGTTTGATTAATTGAAGAAGATATTGCGACTGAGGGAAGAGATTAGTGATTTGAGATTTATCATTTTTACTTACAAATATCAGTATTTGTGGAATAAAAAATGTGAAATGAAATGGTATTATGGAATACTTATTCAGGAATTTATGCCCGATACTTCCATTTTTATAAATATTCATTTAATACTATTATATATATCCTTTAGAGGAAATTCCAGGAGACCAGATTTTTTAAATTCCAATTTCAAAATTCAGATACCTCCCCATCCAAACCCTAATTAACTCCCTTTGCTCTCCCCTCTCTCTCCCTGTCTCTCTCACCTGGCCCTAACACTGGACCACCACCGCAGCCAGACCATCTCATCGGCCACTTCACTGTGCAAATGAACCCCTCTTTTCATAATCGACGCCTGAGCTAGTGGATTGACGGTGGTGGAAAGGCGGTGGGCTCCTATTTGGATCTAGTTTTTGGTGCTTCAATGATTTTGGGGTGGATTTCTGTCATGGTAAGTTAATGTTGCTAGTGGTGATGCGGTGGTGGTGCCGATGGTGGTTGTTGTTGTGGTGGTGTTTTTGGACCTATCTTTTGGTTGTGTGTTAAGTTGTGGCGGTGATGAGGTGGTGGTGATGTTAGCTGTGATGGTCGTTGATGTGGTGGCTCGATGGTGCAACAGATTTGAGTGATGTTTTTGTGTGGTGGTTGTGTGGCTATGATTTTGTGACGGTGGTGATGGTGTTTGTGTGGAGGCGATTTTGTTGGATTTGGCGGTTGCAGTGATGTTTTTGTTGAAAATGGTGGTTTATAGGTGGTTGTGGTGATGAGGAGGAGGTGGTGGTGGTGATGGTAAAGTAGTGGTGGTTTGTTTGTCATGGAGATGACAGTGTTACTAGTTGTCGAGAGGTGGTAGTGGTTCTGGCAGTGGTGTTGTTGATGGCGGTGATATTGCAAGCAGTAGAGGTGGCGATCACAATGGTGGCGGTGGTTACAAATTATTCGGCTCATTGTGACCAATAAATTGGTTAATTTGGGACCAATAAATAATACGTAACCAATGAAATAGATAAATTGTTATCTATAAATAATATCCGATCTAAAAATTTATTAATTTGTGACTAAAAATTTAATAATTTATGGTCGTGTAATAAGTTACAGCTTATGAAATTTGTTAATTGATAAATAAATTGTGACCTATAAAAATTTTGATTTGTGATCTATAAATATTTTGATTTGTGACCAAGAAATGGTTTATGATCAGTTAATTTATGATCGATGAATAAATTGTAATTGATAAAATTTTTGATTTGTGACCATAAAATAATTAGTGACCTATAAACTTTTTGATTTGTGACCAAAATATGATTTGTGATAAGTTAATTTGTGATCGATGAATAAATTATGACCGATAAAATTTTTAATTTGTGATCATAAAATATTTTGTGACCTATAAATTTTTTGATTTGTAACCAAGAAATGATTTAGAATCAGTTAATTTGACATTTTGTGACCAAATTGTATATAATTGTGACCAATGAATAAATTGTGACGGATAGAATTTTTAATTTGTGATCACAAAATATTTTGTGACCTATAAATTTTTTGATTTATGACTAAGAAATGATTTGGAATCAGCTATTTTGATAATTTGTAATCAAATTGTACATAATTGTGACATTAATTTATTTAATTAATAAAATATTTTTTAATTAAATATTTCAAAAATAAAATTTAATATGTCTGATTTTTGAAATTTAAAACATTTTATCTTATTTTTGAAATAGGTTATAGTTAAACTCTTAGTTTTGAATTCTTCCCTATCTTTTAAACCAATATTATTGCATTTTATACAGTAAAATTGATTGCTAATAAATCACCTCTCTCATCCATTTTTCTATTCAATGTCTATAATTAATCCATTTAAAAGGAAACAACAGTCCTGCTTATCTTTCAAGAAGAAATCCATATCAGCGTTCTCCTTCAAATGATTCCCCCCATTACATCTCAATCTTAGATTTCTTCATCCTCAAAAGTCAAATCTTAGCTTTATTTCAAAAATTATGCCACAAAATGTAAAACCAACACAAATGTTTCGCATATTTTTCAGATTTTTTTGGCAGAAATGTTGTCCCTACTCCCTAATAGCGGCAAAAAACTTTACACTCTCATCCCAAAATCTCACAAATCCGACCATTTTCCTATCTCAGTTGAAGGGTTCATCACAAAATTTGCGATACTTATTGAGATTCTGCCGTTCGGGGATTTTTTGCAATCTGTAAACAAACATGGATTGAGCCATTTCCACACAAAGAAAAAAAAAAAAAGTTTCTTCCCCAAATGTCAAAAACGACGTATTTGTTTTTTTGTTCTATATTCAATTTTTCATGATAAAGTCACATTACGATTTATTTCTAATTTTATATCACCTTAAGATAAATTCCACATTCACTCGAAAATAATATTAACCAAGCAAATATAATGATCATCTCATTGCAGAAGAGTTCGAGTTCGTATTTGATCCCACTAAAATGGTTTGCGGTTCTATTTTAAATATTAGCTCAAATTTAACCTTCGTCATCTTATGAAATACGATTTCCACAATGGACTTGAGGAGCTAGTCATTAATGGATTTGGTAAGATTTGAAACTATGAACAGTGTTATGGAAATATTTTGACTTCTTTTAACCTTTAATTTTATTATGTGTAGTTGCGTATAAAATATTAAACATCCCAACGAGTATTGATTAACATTTCTGTATTTTCCATTGAGAACGTAGAATAAAAATTGATAAATTCAGTTAATTAGAGAGTGAGAGCAGAGGATAGGGCAATTCCAGCCATATTTGAACCCTTCATCTTGCATTCTGGCACTACAATCCGACTCCAATCCTTCTTCAAAATATCATAGTTTAACCAAATTATGTCCCATATACCTTCCAAATTAGACATCAAAATTGCCCTAATTATCCCATCTCTTTGCTGTAAACACCCCATCATTGCCCCATATGGCTTCTTTATTTGCTCAATTAATTCATTGGGAACCGTTGTGATAAATTCCCAATGCCTTCCATTTATGCTTAACCCCCACAGCTCGAATCCCGTCATCACTCGTACCTTTCTAGTTGCATCGTGAACGTTGTCTGATCTAACGATCATCATTTTCCCATCACCATATATGTTTAGTTGATCGACGGAATTCTCCCGACTAAATCCAATGGCTAATTGTCCCTCCTCATTTATTGCTCTGGAAAATCTCGAACGTAAGATGATAGGTGTTTCATACTGACTTCCTGTGGCAATAACAACACTTCCACTTCGAGCATCACGCGCACTTAGGAAAGTGCAACCGTTTGATGTTTCAAAGCCATGTGACAAAATCCCATCATTTTCTCTTGCTTCTCTAGACACCCAAATGTCAGTTTGAGAATCGTAC